GGCAATCAAGGGGTTAAATGTGATTACTGGTGTACTGATGGGCAATCTGACGCCATCTGGGAGGTGCGTGAAAACCACTGGAGTGCCAATCAATTATATATGTGATTTTGTGCACCCATGCCGCCCTGTAGCAGTATTTCTGCTATAGGGCGGTCAGGAAGCGGTTACAGAAACTGTTTCTGATACGGCGCTGTGTTACTTTAACTGACAATTGCGCGGTCATGCAACGCTGCACTAAAATTAAATTTACAGATTTTTTCCCCACGAATTGGGCTTTCTTTTGGTGGTATTTGATCGACTGTGCATTTTTTTATTTTTTGCGCTATAAAAAAAAAGACTAACAATTTTGAGAGAAAAAAAAACAATATTTTGGACTTTTTGCTATAAAACATGTCCAATAAAAAAATGTAAATATCAAATTTAGTCATAAATTTTGGACAAAATGTATTCTGCTCCGTGTCTTTGCTAAAAAAAAATCCCAATTTGTGTAAGTTAATTGGTTTACATGACAGTTATAGCATTTAGAAATGGCGGTATAGATACTGGATTTTTTTTAATATACTAATAATAGTGGAAATCAGCAATTTATGATGGCGATCAGCGACTTATGGCAGGACTGCGGGACTGAGGTGGACATTCTGACACTGGGGGGGAACTGACTTGGGGGTCACTGACATCCACAGTGACACCAATATAGTGATCAGAGCAAAAAAAAAAAACCCACTGACACTGTACTAATAGCACTGGGGAGGAAGGGGTTAACTTCTGGAGACAAAGAGTTAACTGTGTGAGGGGAGAGTTTTACTAGGGGGTGGGGTCTGTTACTAGGGGGTGGGGTCTGTTACTAGGGGGCGGGGGGGTGTACCTCTCTGTTACACACTATCCCGGAAGGCTGAGCTCAGTGATCCTGGAACAGTGTGCTGAAAGCTGACAGGGAGGAGAGCTCCACTGAATTCAATGCAGCCTTCCTCTCTGGCAATCGCCGGGCTCTGGCGGGTAATCACTGGCTGGAACCCAGTGATTGACATCCACAGCCATGGTGGTCACGCCCCTCGTGTGCGCTCCCTACCCCAGAATGCAGGATTATGTATATATATGTGATCCTCCACACAGGGGCCACCTTATAGCAGTATATTTACTGCGAGTGGTCCCCTAGTGGTTATGCTTCCACTGATTACTGAATATCAATATTATGAGTCCTGACCCTTACACTGTATAATTTATATTGTACATTACATACTCCTGATCCCTGCACTATATACTCTATGTTGTACATTACATACTCCTGACCCCTGCACTATATACTCTATGTTGTACATTACATACTCCTGACCCCTGCACTATATACTCTATGTTGTACATTACATACTCCTGACCCCTGCAATATATACTCTATATTGTACATTACATACTCCTGACCCCTGCACTATATACTCTATGGTGTACATTACATACTCCTGACCCCTGCACTATATACTCTATGTTGTACATTACATCCTCCTGACCCCTGCACTATATACTGTATGTTGTACATTACATCCTCCTGACCCCTGCACTATATACTCTATGTTGTACATTACATACTCCTGACCCCTGCACTATATACTCTATGTTGTACATTACATACTCCTGACCCTGCACTATATACTCTGTTGTACATTACATACCTCTGGCCCCTGCACTATATACTCTGTTGTACATTACATCCTCCTGACCCCTGCACTATATACTCTATGTTGTACATTACATACTCCTGACCCCTGCACTATATACTATATGTTGCACATTACATACTCCTGACCCCAGCACTATATACTCTATGTTGTACATTACATAGTCCTTACCTTTGCACTATATAATATTTTGTACATTACATACTCCTTTCCCCTGCATGCTCTATATACTCTATGCTGTACATTACATCCTTCTGACCTCTGCACTATATACTCTATGTTGTACATTACATACTCCTGATCCCTGCACTATATACTCTATGTTGTACATTACATACTCCTGACCCCTGCACTATATACTCTATGTTGTACATTACATACTCCTGACCTCTGCACTATATACTCTGTTGTACATTACATTCTCCTAACCCCTGAACTATATACTCTATGTTGTACATTACATAGTCCTTACCCCTGCACTATATACTCTATGCTGTACATTACATACTCCTGACCCCTGCTCTATATACTCTATTGTACATTACATACTCCTGACCCCTGCACTATATACTGTGTTGTACATTACATACTCCTGACCCCTGCACTATACACTGTGTCGTAAATTGCATACTCCTGACCCCTGCACTATATACTCTGTTGTACATTACATACTCCTGACCCCAGCACTATATACTCTATGTTGTACATTACATTTTCCTCACCCCTGCACTATATACTCTATGTTGTACATTACATACTCCTGACCCCTGCACTATATGCTCTATGTTGTACATTACATACTCCTGACCTCTGCACTATATACTCTATGTTGTACTTTACATACTCCTGACCCCTGCACTATATACTCTATGTTGTACATTACATACTGCTGATCCCTGCACTATATACTCTATGTTGTACTTTACATACTCCTGACCCCTGCACTATATACTCTATGTTGTACATTACATACTGCTGATCCCTGCACTGTGTACTCTATGTAAAGGCTGAAAATTTCAAGTCCTGAGCTACTAGCCAGGCCTTAAGACTTACTCGCTACCAACAAACACAAACAAACAGGGACACCTGTACACACACACACACACAGACATGTACATACATACACACATACACACACAGAAACATGTACACACATGCACAGAGACACATGTACACACACACACACAACCACACATACAAACACATGTATACACACACAGGCACATACAGATACGCATACACACAGATATATGTACATTCACAGAAATACACACGCACAGACACATGTACATACATACACAGACACATGTAACCACAGACACATGTACATAGATACACACACACACCACACCTGTACATACACACACACGTGTACACGTATACATACATGTACATACATGCAGACACATGTACAGATATACATATGTACATACACACAGACATACATGTACATGCATACACAGACACACACACAAACACATACACATGTACACGTACACACAACCACACCCCCATAAAAAGTTGCAGTACTTCGTTGTTATCTCACAGAGCAGGGTACTGCACTCTAGGGGGAGGCAGAGAGCACAGCACACACTCCTTCTTTTGCTTTCACTTTGCTCAGCTATTGATTAGTCTGACGGCTCCCAGTGCCACTGACAGATCTGGCCTGAGCTCCCTGCCTGCTCAGCAAGACAGCCCTGGGGGACACACTTCCCTCCAACATAATTTCCACTCGCTATTAGCGAGCAAGCGAGTGGAAATTTCAAGCCGTGCTCTATGTTGTACATTACATACTCCTGACCCCTGCACTATATACTCTATGTTGTACATTACATACTCCTGACCCCTGCACTATATACTCCATGTTGTACATTACATACTCCTGACCCCTGCACTATATACACTATGTTGTACATTACATACTCCTGACCCCTGCACTATATACTCTATGTTGTACATTACATACTCCTGACCCCTCAACTATATACTCAATGTTGTACATTACATACTCCTGACCGCTGCACTATATATATTCTGTTGTGCATTACATATTCCTGACCCCTGCAATATATATTCTGTTGTGCATTACATACTCCTGACCCCTGCACTATATACTCTATGTTGTACATTACATACTCCTGACCCCTGCACTATATACTCTATGTTGTACATTACATACTCCTGACCCCTGCACTATATATACTCCATGTTGTACATTACATACTCCTGACCCCTGCACTATATACTCTATGTTGTACATTACATACTCCTGACCCCTGCACTATATACTCTATGTTGTACATTACATACTCCTGACCCCTGCACTATATACTCTATGTTGCACATTACATACTCCTGATTTCTGCTCTCCCCCCTCCCCCACTGCTATATTTACACATAATATGGATTCTCTCTTTGTTACCCCCATTTCCTTCCAGCTGGACATTTTATATCGGATGATGTGATTGGAGCACAGACTTTTACATGGTGATAATAATGTGATAACATCCTCTAACTTTGGACCCTTAAACAGAAAGTGATAATGAGGGAGGAGTCAATACCCCAATGATGGTGGTCTTCAGGATCAGTCCAGTCTTCATCTTGGTTGTTCTCCCCCCATCCTCACTCTCTGACCTCTGGTGGGGCTCAGCCCCGCTGTTCTTCATGACTAAATCATGGACTAAATAAGGAAGTGCAGTACTTCTTGTGTTGGGAAGATGGCGATGAGTGATAGAGGGGGTGGGGACCCTCGTCCTATAATCCCCTCATCACTGTCCCTCCTATAAAAAGACAGTTCTGGTTGTTTCCTCACTCTCTGACTAAGGTCCATGAATAAAGAAATGACTGGTAGGAGATCAGAGGAGCCATTTCCTAGTTCCCTTGAGGGTGGAATTGTAAGCTCCTCAGAGACCAAGCTGCCTGATGTGGGCGGAGTCCTGGTTTGGGGGAACCAATCCGCTCCTGTCTAGTAATCCTCTTTGTCTTTGTATTTTAGTCCATAGTCCATGGCCGGGAGATGATGAAAACCTCCGAGGATTGTCTCACTTTGTTCTCATTAGACTGGAAAGTAGAAGATGAGGACATCACACAGTATAGTCCAGGAGAAAACCCGGATCCCTCCAATGTCCATCCGGCACCACACCCAGTGTAGATGGACCATCGGATTCCTCGTATCCTGAGGAACCTCAGACTGTGCGGGACCGGGCCGGCCTTCCAACAGGGAAGAGGTTCTCCTGTACTGAGTGCGGGGAAGGGTTCTGTTCTAAATCCAATCTTAATAGGCATAAAAGATCTCACACGGGGGTGAGAGCTGTTTTCCTGTCCTGAGTGCGGGAAATGCTTTTCAGAGAAGTCCTATCTTCATAAACATCAGAGATCTCACACGGGGGAGAAGCCGTACTCTTGTTCTGAGTGCAGGAAATGTTTTTCAGAGAAGTCCAGTCTTTATAGACATCAGAGATCTCACACGAGGAGAAATAACTTTCCTGTCCTGAGTGTGGGAAATGTTTTATGGCGAAGTCCAGTCTTTCCAGAAATCAGAGATCTCACATGGTTGTGAAGCCACTTTCCAGTCCTGAGTGGATTATTAAAATGTTCCTCAATGACATCCTGTCTTCCTCCTGTACATCAGGGGTCTCACACGGGGGAGAAGCCACTTCCTGTCCTGAGTTGAGGGAAATGTTTTTCAGGGCGATCAGGCCTTAACATTGCATCAGAGGTTTCATACAGGGGAAAAGCCATATTCTTGTTCTGATTTGCGGGAAATGTTTTTTGTCAGAAGTCCGATCTTTTACAGACATCAGAGAACAAAACACACGGGGGAACTGAGAAGCCACTTTCCTGTCCTGAGTGAGGGAAATGTTTTTCAGGGCGATCAGGCCTTAACATGCATCAGAGGTTTCATACAGGGGAAAAGCATATTCTTGTTCTGAGTGCGGGAAATGTTTTTTGCAGAAGTCCGATCTTTACAGACATCAGAGAACTCACACGGGAATAGAAGCCACTTTCCTGTCCTGAGTGAGGGAAATGTTCCTCACTGAAGTCCTGTCTTCCTGTACATCAGGGGTCCCACACAACCCTGGAGGTATATTAGTGCCTTGAGTGCGGGAAATGTTTCTAGATGATGATGTTGGACATCTCAGCTCTCATGTGTGGGAAGAAGCACACCTTTTATATACACCTCAGATATACTCCCATGGGGCTGATCTTCCTCATGGAAGAAACAGATCATTCAGGAGATCAGAGGTCCCCAAAGACATGGATGAAGTGTGGGACCGGGTTGGCCATTGATGGCAGGAGAAGAATAACAATGGAGTCCTGCCCTAGAGCACTGAATAAAGATGATGGTTTTACTATTTCCATAATTTTTATTTACTATTTCCATGTTTGGAATTTAATATTTTTATTTTCTAATTGGCTCTGAATATTACATTTTGTTAATTGTCTTTTCTATACACACTTCATCTCTTATATTTGTAATAATAAAGTATCTTTTTATCAGACATGTTTAATATTATAATGGCTCTGTAATCCAATAGTTTTGTTGTTATGACATTATGGCACTTGAGGTCCTCCAGGTGAATGGCAATACGCTATATCTAGTTTGATGACATCATGTTGGGTATGTATACATTGTATATTATAATCCCAGCTGGCACACTCCCTATAATTGCAGAGTATTATTATTCATTATTTTATATATACATTCATTTTTTCCATATCATTTTAGGGGTCTACAACAAAATGGAGAGCGTCTCCTGTATTTATCCCTATCATTAATATTGTTATCCTTCAATAAAATGGCGGCCGTGATATGTATAGTCATTTTATTTCTTTTTTAGTCGCTATTTTTTTCGCTTTTTTATTTTTGTCCCTTTATCATCCTACTGTTCAGCATTTATTATTCATTCCTTTTTGTATTGCATTCCCTGATGTGCTGAGTGGTTTTCCTAAGCGGTTCCGTTTTGTCCAGCTGCCTTGCAGGACTTCCACAAAATGGTGCCCAAGTCTCACGCATGTGTGCGGGAGCTATAAATAGCGGACATCGTCAGCAGCAAGGCTATCCTTTGATAACATGTTGTTTTTGCATGAAACGCGTAAGGGAGGAGCACTTAATTGCCGTGCTGACTTTCACACTGCCGAGTGCCGCATGTTGGTCCAGCGGCCATCTTTATCACTGCATATGTAAGTTTGATTTTTTTTGGCATCAATATTTGGATTCTTTGCCCATATCTATTCCAGAGTTCCTACACTATAATATCCATTGTGGTGGCTGATGACTTACTGAGCCGTGGAAGGTGGAAGAGTAACATCTTTGACAGTATCGGTGTACCTTGGCTGGATTGGATATTAAGGAGCAGTTCCTCCCCCACACTCCCTGTAATGGATTGGTCCGTTAGCAATGTCAGGAGAGTGTGGGCCCCTGCTGTTTGTTGTTGTGCCAGTGGAGCCCCCTTCTGCCCTGACCACATCCATGATGTAACCACCAGGGTCCTGTTTGGAGGGTTTTGTTTACATGCATAGTTTAAGAGCAAGAACATACCAATCTATCACCATCTGAAGTCAATTGCACTGGAGCAGGGGCAGACTGATAACTCATGGGGCCCCCCGGGCAATAGGGGATCATGGGGCCCCTGTTATCCTTGCCCAAACTCAAAAAAGCCTATGAAAAAGGTACCAGGGGCATCTCATGGGGCCCCCTACTGACCCCGGGCCCTCGGAGCAGTACCCGAGTTTCCAAATGGTCAGTCCACCCCTGCACTGGAGTTATTTCCTAATATTCCTGCTTCCCAGTCACCAGAATCACTATTATACTTGAAGTGTTATAACGATTCACCATCTCGATTCTCATCCAGTCACGAGTTTTACTGGAATATGGATTCATCAGCACGTTTTTGCACTTTATGAACTTTATTTATTTAATGTTTTTCACTTATATACATTTTAGTGGAATATTTTTGGATTTATTTGTGCTTATTTTGGTTTTAATCCATTCACCATATTTCTTGTCACTGGGATTTTCTCCAGTTATTCATTGTTTTCACCAGATCCTTTGTAATTAGCACTGCATACCTATTGACCATTTAGCAGAGGATTTCGGGGTTCTGTCCTTTATGCCAGCAGCTCATTTGTGTGTTTTGTGCGCTCTCACCTATACTCTATTGATTACATCGGAACATGTTGTTTCCTTTCCAAGTCGGCAGATCTTCCACAAAACTGTTTCCACACACAGATGGAATCCGTGACGACAACAAACTCCTTGATATTATGGTCTGTAGCAATGTGAACAGTTCTGTATACAGCTGGGAAATTCCTCTTGCACTTGGCTGCTCTTGGCACACCAATACTGCCCCCTACTGATACATTTGGGAATTTGTCCTGTCCGGGTGATTCCAATGCCGGCTTAACAAAACTTGTCTGGTCCTGGTCTATGGGGGTGTGTCGTGAGCAGCAGCACAGCCATCAATATATACACATGGCAGTAATGGACAGTAGTCCTCGTCATCGGCCTTGTAAGGGTAGAAGATCATTGTTCTTCTAAGAAGTCATCTAATGGCTCTCTTCTGTATTGAGAAGGAGCTGAAACAATCCTGGAGTTGGCCGGACCTCGGGATACAACTCTTTATTTCCTTTATATGGGACTTGTAATGGCCATCCTTGTGAGGATAATGTCCAGGCAGGGATTCTGCTGGGTGATTAAATTACCATCTCGGATTTGTCACTTTGTAATATATGCAGAGGTTGATTGTTCAGTTATATTATTATTCCTCACCCTGAATGTAACTTTTACAGTTTTGAAGGCCCAGACTGGGGCTAGTAATGCTTTTCTCACAGTCATTGGATTGTGATGTTACAGGTGAACAGGGAATTACTGGCATAGGCAATGATTGGTTCAGATTGTCTTGTATTTGATCCAGTACAGCATTTCATACTGAGGTTTGTGAATCCAGTTCCCAGATAGAAGGGTTTTCCTCCTTCTGGATAAGCCAGGCACAGGGGCTTGGGTGAGTTTCCTTGTCAGCTCATTCATGGCTCGCTCCTGAGCCCCCCCCCCCATGTCCATGGTATATTCTTCTTTAGTAATGTCAATAAAGGTTTCCTGATTTCTGCCTAGTCATCAATAAACGTAGTGAGTAATTCATCACACCCACAAATGATCTCACGTCACTGATGTTGGGGGGTGTTTTACACTTCATTCACATCTGTCACGGAGTGCCTGCTCCTCTCCTGCCTGCCCCCCCCCGGTGCCTGTGATCTCCCCTGTGTCCCCTCACCCTGTCTTCTCTCCCTGTTGCCCAGACTTTGATGTTTAGGCTGCATAGGATGAGAAGGGCACCTCTCCCCCCCGCCTCTTGTCACCTCTTCACATCCTGATGTACCCTTTGAAGAAGGCTGCGCAGGATGGGGGGGAAAGTGACCACAGCCGGGGGTTCCAGCGCGAGTACTGCCGACCTGTCTCCACATGCCCCGGTGGGCGCAGCATGGGCACGAGGCTTCCCGAGCTCTGCGCCCACCGGAGACAAATGTTGCGCTCCCAAAAGTGTGCGGCCAGAGTAAGGGGCGTGCCTCGTTGCCCCAGCAACCCGACGCTGGACCGGCCGTTGCCAGAGCAACCAGGAAGTGTCTTGCGCTCGCTTAAGAAGGCCGGCTGTCAGGGCTCCCAGGTATGACCAGAGGTGTGTGACTGAAGCAGGGAAACGCAGACCTCAAGATATGTTATAACAATATAATTTTATTAACACTAACAGTACAAACATAAACGCCAGTGTGCAATACTAAAACATAATACGGTGCAAACAACAAACCAAACCAACCACCCACAGATATACAGTACATACAAGCAAGGCGTCGTCAGCAGGCCGGGTCAATATCAATTGGGCAGGTAGGTAACAGGGGAGCAAGCGGAGAATGGTCGGGGTCACAGGCCAGGTTCACAGCAGGTAGCAAGCAGGACACCCACATAGTACAGAGGGTCAGGCAGAGGGATGGTCCGGGGTCACAAGCCAGGGATCAGAACAGGTAGCAAGCAGCGTAGTACAGAGGGTCAGACAGAGAGATGGTCAGGTTGTCACAAGCCAGGATCAGAGCAGGAGAAGTCAGCAAAGGAACAGAAACAGTGATGCAGGACAGATACAGGGCCCAGGACAAACACAACACCAAGGCAGAGTCTGCAAGTCCTGGCCATCCCCTTAAATACACCAGTATCATCAGTTCCAGGTGTTAGCCCCTGGCCTGAAAGGTTTGAGTCTCTGATTGCTGGGAGCACCCGCTGGCCAGCCCTGGTACTGCAGATCAAAAGGCAGGTGAGTCCCACCATTGCTGGCCAGTCCATTCCTAACACCGGCGCAGGACCCAGGTGGGTGTGATTGTTCGTCCCCCACTCGGGACAGGGTGCTGTGAGGGGTCTGAGCTGTGGCCAGACCCCCACAGCCGGTACCCACTGCAACTCTGCCTAATACTCTGGGGCCAGGATCACCCACTGCTGCCATGCACCAGAAATATCTGCTGTGGGCCCCACAATACGCTGCCTAATACGCTGGGGAGCCAGGATTACCCGTTGCTGCTGTGTGTCCAGAACTAACCTGCTTTGTGTAATTACCTGCCATGTATTGAGGGTTGTCATTGCCTGTTGATGACCGCTGGGGAGCCAGAAAGAACCCCTGCCAGAACTGTGAGTGTCCATACCCCCTGTTTCCCCTGCCTGGACTGTCTGTGAACTCCCCCCCTTATTTCTCCCTACCGGGACTGTCTGAGAGCCCCTCCATTACCCTCCCTAGACGCTGAGTTTCCGCTGATCGCTGTTGTACCTAGAGGGCTGTGTGAGGGCTGTGCTGAGGTCAGACCCACACAGCCAAAGACCCCTCTGAGTCCCCGTGAGCCTGCTGTTGTGCCAAGATAGCTGTGTGAGGGCTGATCTGAGTAAAGTCAGACCCCACAGCCAAGGAAGACCCCTCTGAATCCCCTTGAGGCTGCTGTTGGTGCCTAGAGAGCTGTGTTTAAAGGGGCTGTGCTGAGGT